AGGAACCCAGACCTCTCACTCCACATAGCTGACATAACCCTGGACTGCTTAGAGAGAAGTAAATTTTCATCTTCAGCTACTGCTATTTTAAGCAAAGGCCTATTAAACCTGCATCCTAATACACAGGAAGTGACTGGGGAATGACATTAGATTGAGCCTCAGGACAGGTTTCTTTGAGGAAGTGACACTTAACCTGAGATATTAACAAAAAGGAGTCAGTTGTACAGATTTGGGGCAAAGGCACTCCAGGTAAGAGGGATCACTGGTGTAATAACTCTGAGACAAACAGCCCTCTTCTCTGTTGAGACTGACTTGACCAATAATGTGCTCATCTCCCATTCTTTAGTGTTTGAGCTAAAGGATGGGTCATGTGATCTGAGCAGGGCCAATGAGAGACCTCCAGAGTTTGCTCTGTGAATGATGAAACAAAGGCTTTCTCTTGGATTTGTCTTAAGGACCATCTAAGCTTGAGGTTACTGGGAACCATGTTGCTGTCAAGTGACAAAAGCTTGCCTGAGAATAAAACCAAGCTGAGGCGCGCTTAGATGAGAGCTGGAAAGGGACAGAGCCCTTAAGAGCCTTTGGACTCTGGATCCACGCATACCTGTTACCACAACAGAGTTACGGAAACCAGTCATTTCCTTTTCTGTTGAACTCGGTTTGTCACTTGCAACCAAAAGCACCCAGAGAATGGGGCGGTGTTTCAAATCACAGGCTGTAACTGGCAGACAGTCTGGGGCATGGAGGTCAGGACTCCTTTCCTGGTTGGGAAATTGGTCATCTATGCTTTTAAGTGAAGGAGCTCTGGTAGCATAGTGCCTAAGGCATTGGACTGCTAACCAGAAGGCTGGCCGTTCAAACCCACCAGCCACTCCTCGGCATGAAGATGGGGCCATCTACTTCCGTAGTGATACAGCCTTGGAAACCCAAGGAGGGGTCACTATGAGTTGAAATTGACTCAGTGGCAGTCAGATACTTTTAAGTAGTAAAGTGGCCGGTTATTATGGCTGTTTTCTTGGGGGAGGAGGGGCCCTCAACCATATGCCCACTGAGGGTGAAGTTTTAGGGATTTCGGTAAAACAAAAAAAGTCAGGGTAATGGAATATGTTAACTACTTGTGACCTTCAAGAATACTGGTGACGTAGTGCCTAAGGCATTTGACTGCCAACCAGAAGGATGGCTGTTCAAACCCACCAGCCACTCCTCAGAAGGAAGGTTGAACAATCTACTTCCATAATGATACCACCCAGGGGTCGCTATGAGTTGGATCTGACTCCAGGGCAGTGAGTTTGTGTTTTTTTTGACCTTCAGTAAGGTCTTACAAAAAAAAGAGACCAGCTCCTGTCCAAGCTAGAATTCTGATAGCAGAACAAGAAAATCAGGTCTCCCTGGGAGAGGCCTTTAATGTCCAGGAACAGGCTGTGAAGCCTGAGTCTAATAATAGTGTATCTTGCAGCGTTGTGAAAACTCAGTTCTCTGCCCCAGGATAAGATTCTTACCGGTAAGGGCAGGATACACAGCAGAAGACTGGGACCCTGAAGGACCCAGAGCACCAGGACCCTTCCAGTGGAGTCCTTCCTGATCACTGTCGCCTTAGATAAAACACTGCAGACTGAGCAGACACCAAGTCTGCCGTCAGTAACAAGTCTTGACTCCAGAGGGCGCCACTCACACAGACCAGGATGCCTGGTGGCAATTCCACCCCATTCTTCCCATTACTAAAGCTAGTACAAGCATACCTGGTTTTACTGGGCTTTTTTTTTTTTTTAACATTTTTTACAAATTCAAAGTTGTGGCAATCCCAGTCGAACAAGTCTATCAGTGCCATCTTTCTAACATGTCCTGACTTCGTGTCTGTGTCACTTTTTAGTAATTCTCACAATATTTCAAACTTTCTCAGAATGCACACTTAATAAACATAGGGAGCTCTGGTAGCATAGTGGCTAAGACACTTGCCTGCTAACCAGATGGCTGGCGGTTCAAACCCACCAGCCACTCCTCGGAAGGAAGGTTGGGCAATCCTACTTCCGTAGTGATACTGCCTTGGAAACCCAAGGAGGGGTCGCTATGAGTCGGGTTTGACTCGACGGCACATAACAACAACAGTATAAACATAAACTTTTACATGCACTGGGAAACCAAAAAATTCATGTGACTCACTTTATTGCAATACTCCCTTTACTATGGTGGTCTGGAGCCACACTCACAGTATCTCCAAGGTATGCCTGTACAGCATTATTACGACTCTGCTAAGGTTTATTGAGGCAGTATGATGGATGGTAAGGGCAGGCCTTGGAATTAAGACTACATGGGTTCAAATCCTAGCTCTGTTGTCTGCAGGTTGACTGGGGTCTAGACTGGCCTTGGGCGAGTTGCCTAACCTCTCCCCATGTAGCTTCCTCATTGCAAAGCATTCCAAGCTAAATTTAGGGTGCTCTTTCCACCCCAACATTGCTCTCGGTCCTCCTCTAGGCTTCCCTGTTGTGGTAAGTGTCCCATTAGCTATCTAGGTGCTCAAGCCACCACCTAATTTACCTCAGAAACACATCCTAAATCCATTTTCCTTCTCCATCCCCACTGTCAACACCTCATTCAGGCCACCACCATTTCTCACTTGCCTTTTCATGGTGCTGCTAAAACACTTTAAAAAAAAAAGCTAGTCACATTGAGTCATTCTGCTGCTTAAAATCCATCAAATAGTTTTCCCTTCTTCTAGTCCAAAAGCTAACATGGCCTTTTAGGCCCTGCATGAGTTGGTCCCAGTCACACCGTCCATTCAGTTCAGGCCACCTCGTGTGTCCATGTGTTCCAAATGCACCAGCCTCACGTTCCTCCACCTCCAGGGCCTCTGCTCTGTTGTTACCTCTGCCTGGAAGGCTCTTCTTCCAATCCTCTCTTACCCTGGCCACTCATCGTTCCAGTCTAGGCTTAAATGTCAGTCCCGTCAGGGAAGAATTGTGTTAGCCGTCACACCAGCTTAGGGCTTTGTGACCTCCTCTCACCGCCCGTGTGTTACCTTCACAGTATGGACCATCCCTGGCATTGCTGCAAATGTCTGCCCCCTGGTTCTCCTCAGAGACATTCACCGTTTCTGCTCAGCATTTACCATACACTCCCCTGGGAGGTCTGGACACAGAGTCGCCCGCTTCCTGTGGACTGTTATACCTAGCGGGCAGCGTCTGTCTTCTGTCTCTCTGTGCCTAGAACAGGGCTGGGCTCCGTTTGTTCAGTGATGGTGAGTTTGGATGGCCTTGAGACTTCCCTTCCCCATTAGTCACTTTAGCCAGAAATGAGTCAGGGGCGAGGGGCTTAGAGACAGGTGGCCAATAAGCTAAGATAGCCAAAAGCCCTGTCTAAGCCCCAAGGCTTGTCAATGGCCTCTCTCTTATTAGTGCTTCCGGCCCCAAGGCTGATGTTTTAAATCTGAGCCAGGCCTAGGCTCCCTGGAAGGGGAAGCTTGGTGGTTCATCGAGCAGAATTTGGCTGGCCACCTTCCAAAAGGCTGGGGCAGGATGAGATCAGGTCTCTAGGTGGGTTGGCCAGTTCTGGGGAAGACCGCCCGAGGTGAGTGAGAGGGGGCTGGTCTGACTGCAGGAGCTTACAACTCTAAATTCTGGAATGACTTGCATTGCTCGAAGCCCAGACTGAACTTGCCTTGGCTCCACAGCTGGTGTTCCTGGGACTCTGCCAACGGGGTTCTTCCTTAGCTGAGCCTTACCTTTCACCAGGGGGAACACGATGCTGTACTAACTTCAGGAGAATGAACTGAAACCACTCATCCAGTAGTCGCTGGATTCAGAAACCCACCAAGTCACCCTGGCTTCCTCATAGCCATCTAGGGGCTCTGATTTAAAACATCAGCAAAATCTGCCAGTGCTGTCTCCAAGTGTATCCTGAATTCATACATTTCCTCCCATCTCCACTGCTACCACCCTGGTGGTTCATAATAGCCCCTTCACCTCCCCCATGGCAGAAACTGGGAAGCTGGAACACACAAAACTCTTGGTCACTCACAATCCTTCAGTTATCTTCCTATCAGATGCAAAGTAAAACCTGGGGTCCCTGGAAGGGGTGGGAACTGGTTTTCACCTAACTAGCCAACCCGCAGCCCCGTCACCCAGTCACTTCTCCCCCTGCTCTCAATAATCCTGCCAAGCTCCTCCTACCACAGGGCCTTTCCCGTGTGCCATTCTCATGGCTCCGTGTACCTTCTTCCAGTCTCTGCAAGGGCCCTCACAGGTGTCAACCTCAGGGAGGACTCTGACCACCCTCTCAAGTGAAGCCCTTCCTGTCATCCTCCATCTCAGTCTCTCCTCTGAAGCACTTATCACAATTTGTTGCTGCTTTGTTTTCTTGCCGTTGTCCATCTCCCCTACTCTCCTTGTATAAATCCCATGAAGAGAGACAAGCTGAGGTCTGTCCTGCTGTATCTCCAGCACCCAGCCAGGTTCTCAACAAACCTCCCTTGAATGGAAAGCCTTTTTTGGTGGTAGCAACTTCAACAGTCAGGGATCTCTCTCTGCTTCTGAATTTTGATCCTCAGGCAACATTTCTGTTCGTTAATGAGTAACTCCTCTCTGGGTATATGGCTCAGAGTGAAACAGGAGATTGCAGGCAGCCTGTTTGGGAAATGTCTTCCAGTGGAACTGCAGCAAATCTCAACTCTAAACCCGAGGATGTCAACGCAGGTCTCAGTCCCAGTGCCCAGCCCTGCTGCCGGAGGCCCTGGGATTTCGAGGGTTCTTAGGATCCAGCTGCTCTCCTCTTCCCTAATACTCCAAGTCCCTCTCCCAGGTCCTGCAAGCCTGCACTCCATACCTCCTGGCTGTTGCCAAGCTGAAGGCACGCTAGGGGCAGGAGCTGGGGGTGGCAGGGGCAGCTCCGGCTGATCCAGGGGAGGGGTGGGGAGCCTCTGGAAGCCCGTGAGGATGTGGTTGCCGTGGGGACACGTAGCATGCTCACAGAAACCACCAGCTGGTGAGCAAGAAGAGGGTAAAGGGCACAGTTCTAAAAGCAGCATTTACTTTGGTTTTCACTTCTCCAAGTCCCTAGGAATTCTGCTAAGTTCTGGTTCTTGGGTCTGGCACACTCTGGCCCTCACTCCTCCTTCAGCCACTGCAACAGTTGAGGCGTGTAGTAGGTAATGATGATGTCAGCACCTGTGGTGGGAAAGAAGCAGGAAAGAGAATGGGGAGGGGGGCAGGGACCAACTCTTGGCACAGCTTCCGGGAGATGAGGGCTAGGGAGGGAGGAAGGGCCTCCAGCCACCGGGAAGAAGGACAGCCTCTGGGTGTCACAATGTAACACTGAGCCTAGCTCCAGTCAGTTCTAGCCCTGTGCTGTGTGACCTTGGGCAAGACATTTTCTCTATCCGGACTTCCATCTGCTCAGGTATAAAATGCATGGTGGGAGAAACAGGCAAGTTCTAAGTGTCCTTCCCACACCTGTGTGCTATCAACAAAACCAGCTTCCTCTGATGGTGTGTTAAGCACATGCCAGCTACATACATTATCTCATCTAATCCTGATGACAAGCAGGAAACAGGCATGTTATCCCCACTTTACACACGAGAATCCCGAGGCCCACAGGAGCAGCTTGCTCAAGGTCGCACAGCCAAGTGACGAGGGCTCTGCTTTCTTCACCCTTTTGTGTTTCACTCTGCAGTCCCACATCCCTTCCTCAATCAGCGTTGCCATCACTGGTATTTCTCGGTTGCCTCATGACTTTATTTTCCTACTTAGGCGAAGTGCCTATCAGTCACCGCGGCACAGGTCAAAACCCCCACCCCTGCCTGCTTACCTGCTCTGCGGAAAGCAGACATGGCCTCCAGGACGGCGGCCTTGAGATCAAACGCCCCGGCCTTGGCTCCATGCCACAGCATGGCAAACTCTCCAGAAACGTGGTATACGGCGAGAGGGAGCTCAGGGTGCTGTAGAGAAGCGGTGATGGGCAAACAACGGTGAATCGAGGTTGGTGATGCCTCCGGAAGCGTCCTATCCTCCCTTCCCAATCTCTGATCAACGCCCCGCCCTGAGTCACTACTGCTGGTAGCCTGGCACTTGGTTGAGCAGTAAGCCCACGGTGATGCCTGGGCAGAGGTGGGGAGAAGATACCTGTTCAGGGGCGGAGCGCTCCCAAATCCAAGGTTCTCAGTCCCTTAATCTAAGGTGGCAGAGTCTGTGGGTAAACACTCACCTCCCCGATCCCCCTCCTGCCTCTGCTCCGTGCTCACCTTGTCCTTGACCGCCCGCACGATGTCCAGGTAAGGCATTCCTGGCTTCACCATAAGCATGTCAGCTCCTTCCCTTACATCGCGGTCCTAAGGGTTGAGGGTACGGTGTGCGCAGTGTCAGAGAGTGGTGGGGCGGGGAGGACAGGGAAAAGCTGAGGGGACTCAAGTCCTGGCCCCTTACCACTGCGCGGAGGGCCAGGCCTCGTGCTCCGGGCGGCAGCTGGTAGCAGCGGCGGTCTCCGAAAGCAGGGCTCGACTGAGCCGCATCCCTGGGAAGCAGAGCCATCAAGCTTTGTGCTAAATGGACCAGGGACTTCATAGCAGACCCCCGTTTCGTCCCACTTACCGGAAAGGTCCATAGAAACAGGATGCAAACTTGGCACTATAGCTCATCACTGACACCTGTGGGCAACAATGGGGCTGGGCCTCAGCCAGTGCTCTCGGGATGTCCCAGGACGATGTGGCAGGGTCAGGAAGGGCGTAGGCTGGGAAGAAGAGTGCCTATGTCCTGGTCCCAGCCCCACTGTGTCACTAGGAAAGTCCTGGGCCTTGAGTTCCCCATCTCGGGTACAGAGGTTGAGATGGACCCCAGAGACCTCATCCAGTGTTAGCCTCAGTTCTGCGATTCTTTGCAGCTGTGGCGTCAGGGGCTGGGCCAAGCTCTCTCCTTGCCTCCCCACACTCCTCCTGGGCATGGCCTGCACTCCCTCCCCCATCCATACCCTGTTGCCAAGTCCATGTGCCATCAGGGCCTCTTTGATGGCTTCCACGCGTCCATCCATCATGTCCGACGGGGCTACCACCTGACATCCTGAGGGGCAGAGGGTGGCCTTCAGAACTCTGGGACCCTCCTGTCCACTCCGTTACCTCCCCAACCTAGAAGCTCCCTGCCACCTCCCTGCTGGCTGGCTAACTCACCTGCCTTAGCATAAGCCAGTGCCACCTCTGCCAGTCGCTGGCGGCTCTCCTCGGCCTGGAACGCCCCATTCTTGCTCAGGAGCCCTACAGGACAAATGGCTGAGTTCTGGGGAGCACCCCGGGCCCTGGCCCATCCTTACCCGGGGAAGAAGTAGGCAGTGGGAGCACAGGTGGCAGCAGAGCTAGCCGGAGGGGGAGCTCACCACAGTGACCGTGGGAGGTGTAGGGGCACAAGCAGACATCGCAGGCCACCAGGAGGCTGGGGAAGGTCTTCCGCAACAGGCGGATTGCCTCAATAGCTGGAGAGTCCTCAGAGTCAGCTGCAGAGCCCCGCTCATCCTAGGGGCAGGGGCAGGGGCAGGACAGAGTACTGTGTCTGTTACAGGAAGCACTGGAGACGGCACGACAGCCGCCATCACAGAGCACAACCCGCCCTTGCCTTTTATCACCATCACAGACCCTGGAGGGAGACACACAAAGACTGTCCCACTTTACACAGGGGGCAACAGAGACCCAGACAGGGGACCTGATTTGCCCAGTCAGGTGATGTGGTTCTACTTAGCTTTCTGACTCTCCATGGGTGCTGTCTTAGGGCACAGACCACGTCCGTTCACCTGTGGCCCCAGGACCAGCAGAGGGTGTGAGCCAGAGTACAGTCAGTGTGGAACCTCAGCTTACCCTCACCCTATCTCCTGCCCCCTCCCTTCTCAATCCCATCTCTGATTTTTTACCTTGGGAACTCTGCTGGGCACGCCAAAGATCAGGACGCAGCACAGGCCCTCTTCCACCAGTGGCTTCAGCATCTCCTCTAGCCGGTTCACACCATACCTGGGCGGAGGGGAGCGGTGTGGAGGGACTGATGTGAGGTCGGTCCCAGGCAAGGGTCTTCCCCATCCCCAGCATGGTGCCTCTGTTAGGAGTCAAGGTGCACATGGCACCACGAGGGCTCAAGCCCCACAGCCACAGTATAGGGAGGGAAAAGGAACACAGCCAAAACACAGACGGAGAAACTGAGCCCCAAGTAGCAGAGTTGTGGAATTCAGCTGGGAAGTTCCTTCTAAGGTTCTCTTGTTGAACTCTGGACTCCTGTCTGAAGTTCAGGTCCCCATCCAGCTAGCAAAGAGCCTCTGCTACGATGCCTCTGCTGATGGGTGGCTCTTTACTGTACGGGGCTGCCTCTTCTATTGTGGAATGGCTTTGACCCTAAGAAAACTCTTCTTTCTTCTGAGATGAAGTCTCTAGAGCTGCCATCTCCTGGGTCTGCTTCCACCTTCTGGCACTTCCACACGGGAAACCCCTCCCACCACCCCACCCTCCCCACCATGCCTCCTACCTGGCCACTCCCGGGAGGCTGGCAATAGGTTGTATGTCATCAGGAACATCCCTGCAAGAGTGGGGGTGGGCTATGGATTGGTAGTTGTAGGAAGGACCAGTGGGTGAGAGGGTGACGAGAGGGATGGTTGGGGGATGGGAAGGAATATGGCAGTGGAGATGGTGGGAGGAGAATGGGATCCTGTGTCTGGCTCCCCTGCCTGGCCAAGCCCAGGGCCTGAAATGGTAACAGGAACAACAATAACGTGACAACAAGAGCAGTGGTACTAAAAGAACAGTAGTCAGAGGAGCGAATCAAGTGGTTTAGGACTTGGACTCCGGTGTTAGATCACCCCTGCATCCCAGCCCAGCTCTGCCATTCAGTGACTGGATAGGTTTGGCCAAGTTGTACCAAGTCCTCATCTGTATCCAAGGTGGATTCATTCATTCAACAAATACTTTCTGAGCACTGTTCTAGGCTCTGGTGACACAGCAATGAACAAAGCAGACAGAAATCCCTGCCCTCACGGGGCTGATACTCTAGGGGATAATGTCTGTGCCTTCTGAGTGCCGTCAGGACTGAATGAGACGATGTGTGTGGGTGTTTAGCACAGTACCTGATACACAGTAAAGACTCAATAAATGTCAGCCGCTGCTATTATCAATCATCGCAGTCGCCACCTTCTACATGTACATGCGCTTTGAAGTCAACAAAGCACCTTTTGTCTTTTTGCAAAAGCTCAGGATGGCAGGCAAGGGTTACTCTTCTCACTTTCCAAGATGGGAGGATTGAGTTCTTTCCAAGGTTTATTTTGTTCCTAAGACTGCTGTCCTGAACCCAGCAGGTCACTTCCAGTAGAAGGATCATCTGAGTTCCAAGCTGACCCCTCCCCCCACAACACCAACACCTGCCCAGCCCTGGCAGATCGAGGCCTGGCCTGTTCCCCTGGCACTCACGTGACGAAGACAGGATAGATGAGGTTGGAGGCGTTGAGGGCGGTGGCAGCTGCCTGCCAGGTCCGAAGCAGTGGGTGGAAGTAGCCACTGTGCAGGACAGACTGGGGCTGCATGGTACCGCCTCAGTGAGGGTATGGGGCACTCAGCCGGAATCGAGGGCGCCTGGGGCGTCAGCTGCGTGCTTAGCCCTGTGGGGGTGGCAGGAGGTACATAAGACATGATCCCTGACTCCAGGAGTTGCTCAGACACCCCCGTCACCCAAGCCCTTCCAGATCCCTGCCTTCCCTGCTCCCCGGCTCTGCACTACCACCCAGAGTGTGGGCTACGAAGCTGCCCTGGTGCAGAGAGAAATGAAGGGGAGCCTTCAGGACCTTCCATAGAAACGTGACAAAATCATTTCCGATTTACTGACTCTGAGAATATAGAAGCTGGGCTTCTATAACAGCTACTTTTTTAAAATTGTGATCTGGGTCAAAGCATACTGAGCAAATTCATTCTATGTATGGCTATTTTTTAAAGAAATAACATTTTTCTAGAAATTTATTACAGTTTCTCAAAGAATGATGGATTGCGGGAAACAAACAAACAAACAAACAAAGAACTGGTCTTCCCCCACAGAGTTTGAGTATTAATCTGGGCAACACTGAAACTGTGTTGCATGAAAAACTCCCTATTTCAACTCCACTTCCAGAAAGCAGGGCTGTGAACATCTGGCACCTGGACTTTGGGTCAGGCGACACCCCCCCACCCCCACCCCTACAGAGTAGCCCCAGAACACAGACGCTCTGTCTTTTCCAGCCCAAGGAGCCAACCTGCTGATCCACAAACACAAGCTACACTTGGCCACCTTTGTCCTCTGCTCTGCTCACCCTGCTCCCCTCATCTAAAAGGCTCCAGCTTTCTCCACCCCTCCCCACATCCAAATCCTACTGGTTCTCCCGGAGGCGCCCCTCCCCCTCTCTCCCTTGAAGCTTCTCTTCCAGCCCAGATCACAATCTCTTGCCTAACAGCCCTTTGTAGAGTTATCTAATTCCAGCAGTCAGAGCTCCTGCGGGGCAGGGGCCCCCAGCTGAGCTCTCACTCGTCTCTCCCACAGCAATCTGCCCTGGGCCTGGCACACAGTCAATATTTAATTACACGATGTACAGGGCCACACATGCCCTAATGCCAAATAAATAACAACATAGAGGGAAGCCGGGCATTGCCGGTGTTTCTTGAGCACCTGCTTAGCGTGCCAGGCCACACCGGGCCCTTTCACACACAGTCTCCCCGGTTCACACAACAGTCCTGGGAGGGAGGGCTTATTGTGTGCATTTCTGAGAGCAGGGCCCTGGCCATAAATGAAACAGGAACATCAGAACTTGAGCTGGGAGGTCAGGAGAGGCCTGCTAAAAGAAGATGGGGGCTTGGACTGGGTTCTGCAGGATGAGAGGATTCAGCTTGACAGAGGGAAACGGGAGAGTGTTCCTCAGGAAGGGAAGCCAGGGACAAAGGGACAGAGGAACTGGCTAGGGACTGTTCTGAGGACATGGAGGAAGCCGTCAAGCCCTGTGTGTATGTGAAGAAGGGGAGAGGGGTGGAAAGGAAGACAGGAGTGGGGGAAAGGAAGACAGAGGAGGCAGGGCTGGTGAGGACGCCAGACAAGAGGCCCAAAGCAGACTGAGGAAGGCGGAATATTTCTGATCTGGGGGCAAAAGCCTGGTCAAAGCCTGCCTTTAGGAAGAGAAATCTTGCAGCCTGAGCAGAGCAGATGGGAAGCAGAGGAGCACAGAGGCTGTTGGGGTCGGAGGGGCGGAGAAGAGTCAGCTTAAGGCGGAAGGCAGCCAAGAGGCAGTGGTAGAACGGATGCTTGCCGGACAGGGACAGGACAGGAAGAGGGTGGTGGGAGGCTGGGCTGTGGTGGACAGCTCTGTTTCAGACACTTCCTTTGGAGGTATCTGGGGAACATTCAGTAACCAAGTGGGGGAGAAAAAAAGCCACAGAATGTGAGAGCTGGCAGGCACTTACCCAAGGTCACACAGCAACTCCCAAGCAGGGAATCCTTGAGAATACTGGCACTGCCTTTCTCCCCAGCCTCCCAGGCCCCTTCAGTTCCTTCCCAACTCGCTGCAGGGGGTGGGGGGTTGGAGGTGGGGGAGGGGCCGCATTTTATCAGGTTCTCCTCCTTGGTGGAGTTGAGGTTATCAAGAGCCACACACAGAGGCTCCACCCTGCCAGCCTCACCACCAGACACAGGGGCAGGCCAGGCCTCTCCAAAGATGTAACTACACTGCTAGCCTCCACTCCCCACATAAGCGATCAGTTACAGGGCTTTGCTCTCACCACTGCCAGGAGTTAGCCCAGCTCAGAGAGTTAAGTCACTTGCCCAAGGCCACACAGCCAGAATTTGAACTTGCTGTAGACTCAAGGACAGAGTTTTATCTACTACGCCCCACAATACTGGTAAGCACTTGCTTCAATATGCTGCTCTCTCCCTTGGGGTTAGAAGGATGCAGAGAACTACAGAAAATATAGAGTGTTTATACTATGTGCTGGGCACTATACTCGTTAGTTTATATACATTATCTCATTGAATTGCAGAGGACTGTTCCAACTTTTAGGGATAAGGAAACTGAGGCTCAGAGAAGTTAAGTGATTTGCTCAATTCCCTTCTGCAGCATCAAGTCCGATTCTGAAACCAGGCCTGCTGTTGTTGTTATGGGCCGTCCAGTCAGATCCAACCCATAGTGACCCCTCCTTGGGTTTTGAGGCAGTATCACGACAGAAGTAGCTTGCTCACCTTCTTTCCTAGGAGTGGCTGGTGGGTTTGAACCGCCAGCCTTCTGGTTAGCAGTCAAGTGCCTTAGGAGTCTCTAATTCCCTTCCTAGGAACAATGTGTTGAAGGCTGTTGGCTTCTGGAATGCAGAGCCACATCCACAGAAGGAGCAACTGCCCCCTTTTGTCAGGAACACCCGGCAGGACTGCCTGGGAGCATGGTCCAAACTGAGCTCTGAGAGAAAGGGGAGGGGTGCACTGGAGGAGGGGGAGAGTGGTGAGGGAGGCCTGAGTAGGGCAGTTCCATTTTTATCTGCTTTTTATTTTACAGGTCAGAGAGAGATTTGATTTGAGAAGCAGGTGTCAATGTTGAAAATATAAAAAGTGGAAAAGCTACTAATCTTGTTTAATCTTTTTCTTCTGAATGTGGAGAATGGGGTGGAGAGAGCAGACAGGACTTGTTTGCAATCACAGGGAGTCAGGGACAGAGCTGGGCCTTGACCCTTGGCCTCCTGGCTTCTAGTCCAATGCCCTGTCCCCTGTACCACATGCGAGTCATCCTGTTACAGCAGGTACTTAATAAACACCTGTGAAGTAGAAAAATGCCCACCGAGCCAGAGTCACGTCAGTTTGCAGTGCCCACAGGCTAGGCTTTTAAAAGCTCTGCAAAGGCATAGGAACTGAACATTTACATTAGGTAGATACACTCTTGGAGAGATCAATCATGGGAGAACAGAAGGGCTGTGAATGCACAGGGAGAAAGCTTGGGCAGCAGAAGTGCATGGGAGGGAAGGACACAGGGAAGAGGTGACTATGGGGAGGAAGTGAGAGGAGAGCTGTTGCATTGTGGGAGATTGTAGTTAATGTCATGAGACAAAGTGTATGGGAGCTGCTATATGGAAGCTGAATATGTTCTGTAAACTTTCACCCAAATCACAATAAAATTAAGGGGGGAAAAAAAAAGCTCTGTGAAAACTCCTTTCAAATTTGAGAGGATTTCATACGGTGGGAGGACACTTCTCTCAAACTCAGGGAGTTTGTTCACCACAGCTTAAACCATGATACCACCCTAAAGACATAACCAAGCCACCCTGGTGTTCAGCACTGACCCTTCTTCTCACATTACAGCAGATGAGTTTAGCTGGAAGGCAGAGTGGGGCTGTGAACAAGGATCTCATGTTTCAGGACCAAACAGACACAGGTTCTGTTCTATGCTCTGCTGTGTGACTACGGGCATCGACCTTTCAGTCTCCATCTTGTAGTCTATAAAACGGGCACGATCTTAACAAATTTGCAAGGTGGTAGAGAAGATTAGATAGTGATGAGGTATGTGCCAGGCATCAGGTAGGCACACAGTGAACAGCTATTTTTGTTATTTCCAGGAGTGCAATTGGGCTGGAACTAGATCTTCTGGTGCCAGCACAGAGCTGTGCCTTCTGCACCACACCCAGCACATCTACCCAAACTTGTGCGGGGTCTTGCCGGTATCGCAGGTGGAATCCCAGCCTTCCATCCTAGTGTGGTGGAGAAGCAATAACCATGACTCCAGATGCCAGAGTAGAAGGGAGTTCCAGGTGCTGGGGGAGGGACCTGTGTCTCTGGGTATCAAGGATGGCTTCATGGAAGAGGACAGATGGAAGCATAAGTAGCTTTTCAGATTGACTGTGAAGTTTATCTCCTTTAGAAAGCAACATCTCTAATCTGAGGGTAGCCTAAATTGCACTCTGAGAGCTGCCTCCAAGAGGGGCCCAGAAAGAGCTGCAGGGCAGGGGCCTGAATCCCCGTGGTATGCTCCGGGGAGGATTCTAGAGGCTGTGATCTTGGCACTGAGGGCTGGGAGCTGCTGCCAGCTCTGGCAGGCTCTGCCACTGGCAGGGGAGGAGGCAGTCAGCAAGGCCAGCTGGGTAGAAGGTGGCCAGTGCTGAGAAACCTACAATTCCAGAAGGGCCCAGGATAGCAGTGGTCAGGCATATCTGAAAAGGGACAGACCAACTGGGCTGCCTGTTTATTCAACCTGCATTTCCTGAACACCTAATTTGGGCTTGCTGGTGTTAGATACAAGAATTAAGGAAAAGAATAAGACCCAGGCTTTGTCAAACCCCACCCTCTCTGGGCTTAGCCATTTGGAGCCAGAGGAAAATTTACCAGTTCCACAGGCTGATTAAAGCTTGCTGATTACAAATCCTTCTTTGAAATGATGGTGAAACTGGGCTCAGAGAAGGGTAGACAGTAGCCCAAGATCACAGCAGTGTGGATGGCTGCACATGAGTGTAATTAATGTCCCTGAATTGTACATGGAAAAATGTTGAAATAGCAAATATTTTGTTATATATATTTGTACCACAATTAAAAAGAAAAGAAAGATGAGGCAGCACATCACTGGCCGCTCTGGAGATCCAGGGGCTAGAAGAGCTCTCCAGCGA